GTGAATTTGGTGCACAAATTAAAAGTGTGGCGTGTCCTCTGTGTGTGGGCCCTCCAAGTTGCTTACTGGAGGGAGTCAAAGTTTTACTTGCAGGCCCAATGTTGTAGCATCTCTGTGCCGTTTCTCCTGCCAAGTGTAAGTTATCTGTCCTTGTCTCAAAGTCTTCTGTCAGGAGTTTTAATATTACACTTCTTTCGTGAAGGGGGACTTTAATGGTGTCGTTTGGAAAGGTTTTTTTGGCCTCTCTCATTAGCTTTTGCATCTGCTTGATACTGGTATCACTGTTTAGCCCAAAGGAGAGGACCATGCTCTCTACTTGGGTTTGTTCTGGTGCGGTGTTGAGGGGTTCTGCTGCATGGGGAGATTGGGTCCGGGGAAGCTGTCAATCTGAAAGACGGGAAATGTGTGTTCTTTGATCCTGGCTAGATTGGAGTCTCCCAGGATCAGCACTGGCTTGGTTACTCTAAATGACCAGTCTAAATTTTTTTGGTTAGTTACTCTGATTCTCTACTTTGTAGACTTTCCTGCCCTCTTCCCTGTCCGTGTTGGAGTCTGTGGTTCTGCGGTTCCAGGTTAGGATTTACTTTTGTCACAGGTTAAAAAGGGTATCTGGGAGACTTGGTGTGGGTGCGACCAATAAAAAGGGGATGAAATGTAATAAAATATTTACAAAAGGGATCCGTTTAAAATGGCTTTAAAAAATAGAAGTGATAAAACAGGCCACAGTCAACTGGTCCCCGCCGTCCTCGCCAAGCTGGTCGTTCTATGTCCCGGGACCGGGCCGCAGACTCACCAGTGGCTTTCCCCCCCGGGTCGCCACCGGTCACCCGTGGGGAAGAGAGACCCATCCTTCCGCGATGTTCCTCTTGGGCCTTAGTAATAATAATAATAATAAATCTTTATTTGTACAGCACTTTTCAAAAACAATGTTTACAAAGCGCTGCACAGTCTGCATAATAAACAATAAAACAGTCATAATACAAGGTTAAAACTCTAAGAAGACAAGAAAAGACAGAAAGTAAAATACGACATTAGTTTAAAGCTGTTTGATAAAAGTGGGTTTTAGGAAGTGATTTAAAAGAGCATACTGATGGTGCTAGCCTTATCTCCTCGGACAGGTCATTCCAAAGCCGAGGAGCCCGGACAGAGAAGGCTCGATCACCTTTCGTCCGGAGCCTCGACCTTGGAACGGTCAACAGGGACCTGCCCGAGGATCTAAGGCTGCGGGGGGGCTCGTAGGGGGTTAAAAGTTCATAAATATAGCTTGGTGCCAGACCTAAACGAGCTTTAAATGTAATCAGTAAAATCTGAAAATCAATTCTAAAACGCACAGGGAGCCAGTGGAGGGACGCTAAGACAGGGGTGATGTGCTCCCTTCTGTTAAAACCAGTGAGAAGTCTGAAACCAGTGAGAAGTCTGGCTGCTGCGTTCTGCTGCGGGATTTGGAGTCGAGACCGGAGAGGAGGGAATTGCAGTAGTCGAGGCGGGAGAAAATTAGCCTGGCTCTGCCAGACTCTTGTAGTTCCGCCATGCTCCATCAGAGGCGTTTGGCTGAACCACATGGGTCTGGTATCGACGCCAAAGCCGTACGCCTTCCCCAGATTATTTTTTAATCGACCAATCAGGATTGCCGGTGTTACGTGGGGTTTGCACTGCCTTCTCAAGCTTCTCTCGTGCAGCAGTGAGAGGAATCCAAGATGGCGGACGTAAAGTCCGCGAATCTTTTTAAAAGAGTAAATACGATCGAATTAAGACACTGATGTCACTTTTAATGCAATTTGAGGCGAGATGTTGATGGTTCTATGTTGATATATGTGTGTTTTAAGAGTCAAATGTTCATGTAAAGTTTGGTTGAAGCACTGGTTCAGTGTTCCTGTTTACAACACTATGCAGCAGGGTTGCCAGGTTTGGTGGTTCCCGCATATTTTTTTCCAAGATTGTAGGTATTAAATAAACAGAAAGACAATAAACAGAATCATGATAGCCCAAGTTGATTACATTACATTGTTAGCCAAAAAATCATTCTGAGTTTTTTTTTTGTGGGTATTCTCGCAGATTTTGGGTTGGAAAATCTTGCTGGGATTTGGCAACCTATGGGAGCCGTGTGCTTCGATGTGAGTGGTTGAAAGCAGACTTCATTCAAGATAACGGACAAGTGGTCTATCCAATCACATACAAGGATTTTTTTTTTACAAGGCCCTGCCTTCTGAAATCCAACCACTATGGCTCAGTACCAGACTCATGTGTGAAGTGCAGCGAATTACATGGGTCTGGCAGAGTCAGGCTAGGAGAAAATGTGGGCGTTGACATCTTAATGGAGATAATGAGGAGTGAGAAGGTTTTTAATCTTTGAGATGGTGCGGTGGTTTTTTTGATGTGGGAGCGGAAGGTGAGGTGAGAATCTAAAATGACACCGGAGCCCACAACAGGTTCGCCCGGGTTGCCACAACAGGAGCCACGCTAGGAACTAGCATGTTGCGGTGCCCCGCAGGCACACATGCCGTCCCACGCTATCGTTGTGCGCCCTCCTCCAGGCCACATTGCCGGTGCCTCTCTCCCCGCTGGCCTCAGTCCTCCGTTGGCTCTGGCTGGCCCAGTCCTCACTGGCCCAGTCCTGTGTCCGACTTTTCCTTCTCTCTTCTTTTTTCCCCTCCTGCTGCTCTGCGCCCTCTGCACTTCTATGCAGTTCCGCACAGGTGCACTGATTATCTGGGGCATGGGGGGAGGAGGGGCTATGGCACATGTTGTTTAAAACCATTAATACAATTTAAGAGCACACAACATTTAAAAAAATCAAACCATGCAATTGTAATGTCTAAAACCCATTTAAAAATGTGGGATTAAAACGTGTGCCTCTGATACTTCCAGAGCTATCGGGGGGCTAGCGCTGGTGCAACCCGCTAGTTCCTAGCGTGGCTCCTATAGTGGTGACCCGAGCAAACCTGTTGTGGGCTCCGGTGTCGACATGCAAGTGTTCAGCGGTTTATAGGAGTCCCGGGGGAAGCTTACTTTTGTAGCTCTCCTTTTTACCAGTGTTGTTGATGGTCCTCATGTTTCTGGACTAGGACAGATGTTGATCCTAATATTCCTAATATTGCCTGGTTTACAGTAACTGATATTACTGGTTTATGATAGTGTTGAAGTTATTCAATCCTCTTGCTTGTAAACCAGCGAGCTTGTGACAGGACACAACGGTGTTTCTTGAAGACATAATAGTGAGCTTTAGTTGGACAGGTTCACTTGCAGTTTCTTCTAAAATGAAGGTTGTGTAACTCTGTGTATCAAGGAGTGCAAAGACTGATACCCACACTGAAATGATAATGTTCTCTATTAGAAGTGGCTTCACTTGTTGTTGAGACATTTGTATCGTGTGTTTGTATCTAGTTTTCTTTGTATTGTCTTTTCACTACGCTTGATTACTCATGTTTGAGTCCCTTCTTTAGTACAAGTGTCATGGAGACACAATGCTTTTTATAGCATATACAGTGGGGCAAAAAAGTATTTAGTCAGCCACCGATTAGTCATCCCACTTAAAATAATGAGAGGTTTGTAATTTTCATCATAGGTACACTTCAACTGTGAAAGAGAGAATGTGAACTAAAATCCAGGAATTCACATTGTAGGATTTGTAAATTATGGTGGAAAATAAGAATTTGGTCAATAACAAAAAATCAATTCAATACTCTGTAAATAACCTTTCTTGGCAAAAACAGGTCAAACGATTACTATAGGTCTTTACCAGGTTTACACACAGTAGCTGGTATTTTGGCCCATTCCTCCATGCAGATCATCTCGAGCAGTGAAGTTTTGGGGTAGAAAAGTGATGGATGGATGGATGGATGACATACAGTATGATATGTCCTTGAATTTTCACTGAACTCACTACAGTGCCTTGTGAAAGTATTTGGCCCCCTTGAACCTTTAAACATTTCGCCACATTCAGGCTTCAAACATAAAGATATAAAAAATTTAATTTTTGTCAAGAATCAACAAGTGGGACACAATTGTGAAGTGGAACAAAATTTATTGGATAATTTAAACTTTTTTAACAAATAAAAAACTGAAAAGTGGGGCGTGCAATATTATTCGGCCCCCTTGCGCTAATACTTTGTAGCGCCACCTTTTGCTGCAATTACGGCTGCAAGTCGCTTGGGGTATGTTTGCACATCAAGATACTGGAATTCTTTCCCATTCTTCCTTGCAAAACAGCTCGCGCTCAGTGAGGTTGGATGGAGAGCGTTTGTGAACAGCAGTCTTCAGCTCTTTCTACAGATTCTCGATTGGATTCAGGTCTGGACTTTGACTTGGCCATTCTAACACCTGGATACGTCTATTTGTGAACCATTCCATTGTAGATTTGGCTTTATGTTTTGGATCATTGTCCTGTTGGAAGATAAATCTCTGTCCCAGTCTCAGGTCTTTTGCAGACTCCAACAGGTTTTCTTCCAGAATGGTCCTGTATTTGGCTCCATCCATCTTCCCATCAATTTTAGCCATCTTCCCTGTCCCTGCTGAAAAAAAGCAGGCCCAAAGCATGATGCTGCCACCACCATGTTTGACAGTGGGGATGGTGTGTTCAGGGTGATGAGCTGTGTTGCATTATGCCAAACATATCGTTTTGCATTGTGGTTTCATCTGACCAGAGCACCTTCTTCCACATGTTTGGTGTGTCTCCCAGGTGGCTTGTGGCAAACTTTAAACGAGACTTTTTATGGATATCTTTGAGAAATGGCTTTCTTCTTGCCACTCTTGCATAAAGGCCAGATTTGTGCAGTGCACGACTGATTGTTGTCCTATGGACAGACTCTCCCACCTCAGCTGTAGTTATCTGCAGTTCATCCAGAGTGATCATGGGCCTCTTGGCTGCATCTCTGATCAGTCTTCTTGTTTGAGATGGTTATGGCCAATTTAAGTTATCAAAGTGTTTCAGCACTGGTTGTTTATGATTGCCAGTCGTTATTTTCTATTCGTGACCAACACGAGTTGTTTCTAAAGCAAAATTATGGAAACCGATCCTCGGGTGGCCTACCCCCCCTCTCTCCTTGGCTCTGCCCCCGTACCTGCACCGCTCCTGTGCTCTCCCACGAAAGCGCCACAGGAAACGGGGAAAGAGAGGTGGCACTGCCGTAAGAGTAAGAGTCTACCTTCGCTCCCAGCGCGGGCGTGTTCCTCCAGTACAGTTTGGCGATGTCCACCAGGATGTCTGCCCTTTCCCGGACAGTTCGTGGCGCTGGATTCTCCCGATTCATCCCGACAATACCGTGGATGGATACGTAACAGAGGAGTTCTATATCCACCGGCTTCCCAGACCCATAGAGCGCCGCGCTGTTCCAGCGCTCGGGCCCAGCCTTGTGAGGATAATCCAACTCTTCAGCTGGCCCTGTTCAATGTTAGATCCCTGGCAAACAAGACTTTTGTGTTGAATGACTTCTTCACAAACCGGGATTTGGACTGTATGCTTCTGACTGAAACCTGGCTTCGACCTGGTGAGTGTATCGCTTTCTCAGAACTTCTCCCTCCAGCATGCTCCTTCTTTAGCTTTCCTCGCAAAACAGGGAAAGGCGGAGGATTAGCTACAGTTTTTAAAAACAATCTGAACTGTCGGAAGCTCCCCTGTGCGCAATTTGAAAGTTTTGAATTGCAGCTCTTTGAGCTAAGACTGAATGCACTGATCCTGTGCGCACTAAAGCCTAGCGTACATCGACAGAGAAACTGGGGACAACTAGTTGCAAGGCGGCTTTTGGCAACTGAGAGGAGATGGTGGGAGATGATCAGTTGCCGAAATCGGTCGATGTGCGCGCTCTTACAACTGGAGATGATCAGTCGGTCTCCAGTTCCAGTCAGTTGCCCGTGTTCTACTTTTCGGCAACTAGTTGTCCTCAGTTGCCCCGATGTGCGCGCTCCATGCGCCGCTCCAACAACGTGTGTGTATTGCGTGTATTGCGAGCCCGCAACAGTTTGTTGTCAGAAAACACACTGTAGTTGAGGCCAGTTGCTGTCGATGTACGCGCTGTTATTCAAGAGACTGGCCTGCGACTCAGAGTTGCCCGTTTTCGCCAGATTGTTGATGTGTGCGGGGCAGCAACTCAGAGGCGACGGATATAATCAGTTGCCAGTCCGATGTACGCTAGGCTTAATATATCGCCCGCCTAAGTCCAACAAGGATTTTATGGAGGAATTTGAGCCTTGTGGCGGACATTGCTCTGAAATGGGACTATTTTCTCTTCGCTGTGCATGTCGCCGCGCGGTGAGAAAATGGAAAAAATACCGACTTCATGTGTCCCTGGGAATTTTAAAAGACTCTCTTAAAAACTACCAAAGAGCTGTAAAATCAGCAAAAACTAACTACATGTCCAACCTTGTTACCAAAAACTGTAACAACCCCGAAGTTCTCTTTAATGTGTTAAACAGTATTGTAAACCCAGTTGAACACACTGGTGTTTCCCCATCTGTTTCTTTGTGCGACCAATTCTGTAAATTTTTCAAAGAGAAAGTGTCTTCTTTGCGCTCTTCAACCTCATGTGCTGTAGTGGATCCCAGTCTTGTCTCTCTTTGTTCAGCTGTTTTTGCAGATTTTGAGCCCATCTCTCTGTCTGAATTACTACAGACTGTTCAAACACTTAAAGTTTCTAACTGTCCTTTAGATACCCTGCCTGCGAGAATGTTTAAAGATGTTTTAGATTCTGTTGTTCCTTGTATTTTAAACCTGATCAATCAGTCACTTGAAGAGGGCTGTGTCCCAGCTGCCTTTAAACAGGCCATTGTGCAGCCTTTGCTAAAAAAGCACAATTTGGACCCATCTGTCTTTTCCACTTTTAGGCCTATTTCTAAATTGCCTTTTCTATCCAAGGTTTTAGAAAAGGTAGTTCTTAACCAGCTCCAGTCGCATCTTAAATCAAAAGATATTTTTTTTTTTTTTTTATAACTTTTATTTGACACAGAAAAAAAAATAAAAAACATGTACAAAACAGACATGTAAGGAACCATTCAAAACATCAATGTTCACAATTCGACCATAGCAACCTTTGTGTTAATTATAGCACACATACCAATTCAGCAGTCACAACTTGTGCAAGTCCTGAGATTTGCAAACGTATACCTTCCATTTGTCCCATTTTTCCTCAAATTTGTCCTCTTTCAGTCTTAGAGCAAATGTAATTTTTTCCATTATATAAATTTCCTGTATGATATCTGTCCACTCAGTCCGGTTGGGGGGCTCAGGTTTAAGCCACCTCCTCGTTATGGCTTTTCTTGCAGCGGTTAACAATATTTTCACCAGGTACTGATCCTGTAAATCAACCACATCAAAAATATTGCCAAGATATAGCACTGCTGGTGTGCAAGGTAAACTATATTGTAGTATGTCAGACAGTGATGAATGTATCCAGTTCCAATAAGGTTTGATCAGTGGGCAGGTCCAGAAGATGTGTGTGTGATTTGCATCAGCAGTACCACAATGTCTCCAACACATCTGCTGGTTAGCAAGCTGCCTGCTTTTTATATGGGGTGTAATAAAAAAACGAATAACATTTTTCCAATTGAATTCTCTCCACTTTGGAGAAGTGGTAGAAGACTGAGCCAGCTCACAAACTCTGTACCAGTCCTGATCTGAAATGGTAATGGCCATCTCCTTCCCCCACTTCTCTTTGACATACAATGTTGCGTCATTCTGACTGGCCATCAGACTTGTGTATAATTTTGAGACTATCTTTTTTGTTTTTTGTTGACATGCACCAATTATAGTTTCCAAAACTGGATTTATGTCCGTTTTGTTTCTGATTTCTTTATTAAAATATTCACGTATTTGTAGATAGCGAAAAAAATCTTGATTGGCCAGACCAAATGTCGCTTTTAAATCCTGAAAGCTTCTCATCTCATTGTTTTTAGTAACTGTGAGGAAGGAAGTGACACCCTTATGGATCCAGCTTTTGAATGTTATATCATGCTTTGCCGCTTTGAAATTGCTATCTAAATATATCCATCTTAATACTTTTCTTTGTGACTTCAGTTTCAATTGTCTTGCGATTTTGTACCAAGTGTCAATTGTGAATATTGTCACTGGACTAAGTTGAGCTTTAATATCACTAGGTATGTCATCTTCTCCCAGCACAGTTTGAATATGGTATTTGGGTAAACATGTTTCGATCTCTTTCCACTTAGAATAGTACACAGGATCACACCAACAGCATAAATATCGCAATTGAGCAGCATAAAAATACAACCTCAAATTGGGGAGGGCCATGCCGCCCTGTGCTTTAGTCAGCTGTAGCGTTGAGTACCTGACTCTTGCCTTCTTTCCGTCCCAAATGAATCTGGATATCATTCGATCCCATTCTATGAATTGTTTAGCAGGTATGTCTACAGGGAGCGACTGGAATAGGTAGAGCAATCTTGGCAGAGTGTTCATTTTTATCACATCTATCCTATTTGTGAAATCTAAGGGATAAGTGGACCATCTTTGAATATCTGATTTTATGTTTTGATTGATTGGATTAAAATTAGCCTCATACAAGCGTGATGGGTCCTTTGTCAAAAACACTCCTAGATACTTCATTTTTTTACTATCCCACTTTATTTTGTATTCCTGCATAATTTCTTGTGAGGGTTTGTGGTTGAAAATTAGAATTTGGGTTTTAAGAATGTTTAAGTTGTATCCAGCATGAGAGGCAAATGTGCCTAAGAGGTTCATTAGTTTATGTAGGGAGGTGTTAATGTCTTTAATGAATAGTAGCACATCATCTGCAAATAATCCTATCTTTTGTTCTCTGTCATTAATCTTAATGCCTTTCAGATCCTCAGCCTGGCGTATAGCCTGGGCCAGAGGCTCCATGTAAAGGGCAAAGAGAGTGGGGCTGATTCCGCAGCCCTGTCTCGTGCCCCGTTGCAGTTCAAATCTGTCTGTCAGAGATCCATTTACTTTGATTCTTGCAGTCGGCCGGTCATAGATTGATCTGATACATTTGATCGAGTCTTGGTTTAGGCCAAATTTCTCTAATGTTTGATACAGGAATTCCCAATTCACACGATCGAAAGCCTTTTCAGCATCAAGGCTGATTAAAGCTGCTTTCAGTTTATGTTTAGATATAGTGTGAATTATATGCAAACTACGTTGATATTATCCTGAGTTTGTCTTCCTGCCACAAAGCCAGTCTGATCTTCATCAATCAGATCTGTCATGAAGGTTTCAAATCTTTTTGTAAGAATCGATGTATATAATTTGTAATCCACATTCAACATTGATATAGGCCTATAATTGGCACAATTTTCCCGGTCTTTATTTTCTTTTGGGATTAAAGTAATGATTGCGTCTTTCCAGGAGGGAGGAGTGTGACCGTGTTTGTGGACATAGTTAATGGCTCGGAGAAGAACTGGGGACAACTCTTCCTTAAACTTTCTGTACCACTCTATGGGGAAACCATCACTACCTGGGGCCTTATTCGTTTTTGCTCTGCTTATTGCCTTATCAATGTCTTTTTGAGTTATTTGTGCTGTAATCGTTTTGTTTTGGGTCTCACCAATGCAGGGAAGGTCCAATTTATCCAGAAATTCTTTGGTTGAAACTTTATCGTGAGCGCCCTCTTGTGAGTACAGGCTGTTATAGTATTGAAAAAATGTACTTTCTATTTTTTGAGGGTCTGTCTGTAATTCTTGTGAAATAGGGTCTCTAATTTTTGTAATTGTTGAATCTGACTGCTGTTTACGAAGTTTTCTAGCAAGTAATTTTGTAGATTTTGGGCCAAGTTCGTAATAAGACTGTTTTGTGTATCTAGCCTTTTTTTCAACCTCGTAATCTAAATGTCTTTCTATTTGTAATTTCAAATTCTTTATTTCTTTTAGGGACTCTGGATCTTTCTTAAATTTTAGTTTGTGTTCTTGGTCCTTCAAGTTACCCAATAATTTGGTATATTGTTCAATTCGCTTTTTCTTTTGGAACGCTGCTATGGCTATTAATTTTCCCCTCAGGAATGCTTTTAATGAGTCCCACAATATTAATGGATCAACCTGGCCATTGTCATTATCCTCAATAAAGGTTTTTATCTCGTTTTTAATACAATCAACAGTGGCCTTGTTGTTAAGCAGCCCCACATTCAGTCTCCAAACCGTGCTCTTTGGCCTGTTCTCCAGGTTTATAGTTAAATAGACAGAGTTGTGATCAGAGACATCTGCTACTCCGATTCTACATTCAGTTACTCTGTATTGATCTTCTTGTCCCATTAGAAAGTAATCTATTCTGGAGTGTACCGCATGGGGTACAGAGTAATGCGTGTAGTCTCTATCAAGAGGATGAAGTTTTCTCCATACATCTACCATACCTATTTCCCCAAGAGTGGCACAGAGTTGCTTTGTTAACTTTTTCTTGTTCCTGTTTTTACTAGTGGTATCCATGTTTAAATCCAGCACTGCATTGAAATCACCTCCACATATACAAATTCCTTCAGTCTCCTTTGTTACAATATCAAACATTACTTTATAGAAACCTCTGTCAATTTCGGGAGGAGCATAAATGTTTACCAATGTTATAAGGCTGTTTCCAATGGTGCCTTTTATCAAGACATATCGGCCCTCTTTATCCTTCACTTCAGTCTTTTTTTCAAAATTGATTTTTTTGGAAATAAGTATTGCTACTCCTCTTCTATGACTTTGTGAGAATGAACTGTAAAATATATCTCTATATCCAAATTTAACTAATTTATCATGCTCTTTGTCACTCAGGTGTGTTTCCTGAAGCAGAATAATGTGTGCATCATCTTTTTTTAACTTATTCATTACTCTTTCATTACTCCATTGCTCTTTTAACAGCATTTCCTAACCCATTAACATTTAGAGACAAGATTTTCAATGTTTGACTCTGCATTGGTTTAGTAAGAATTTAACTGCATGGTTGCTGGTCATTTTTAACAAACAAAAAACATAAAACAAGAACATGGCCATAAAGAACATAGGTTGTGTGGCTCCTAAACAAAAATAAAGTAACAACAAATTTTGAATTCCAAGGTAGGGCGTTTCAGTACCCTCACTAAAACCTACAGGCGGGGGGGAAAACCTCCCTGAGAAAGAGGGCCCCCTTCCAGAACAGTGGCTGACCCCTTTAAAAGTACTACCACTAATTCTGCCATTGGTAAGCTCCTTTTATCAGGCCAATTAGATTACAAAAAGATGACAGTCCAAGCTTGATTAACATTTCAGTCAAATAAAGTGGAATACTGAGGAATACTAAAACACACAGCGTGTACCAGTTACCCTTGGAGACATCATCGTGTTCCTCTTTTTGAAGACTGCTCCGGGCTCATTGTCTGGGTTTACGCTGAAACTCCTGCAGTCGTTCTCGTGCGCGTTTCGCTGCCTCCCTCTCCACGCGTCGTGCCAAGGTGATGTCTGCTCCAGTTGTTGTGATGTTATTGGGCCCTCCGAAACGTGCTCTTCTGTGTGGCCAGCAAAGAAGCCCCTTTTGCGTAGTTCTCTCTCGGCGTCTCCCGCACTGTTGTACATCTGCGGTCCACTGTCCCAGTGGATTCGCATCCGGGTGAATGGAGTCTGAAAGCGGACACCTCTCTCCTTCAGTGCGGCTTTGATGGCTTTATATTCCTTACGTTTCTGAATCACGTCGGTGGTGTAATCAAAGTCAAATGAAAGGATCCTGTCGCCAATCTGAATTTTCTTTTTCCAAGCGTTTCTGAGGATTGTCTCTTTTACTCTGAACTGAAGGAAGTTCACTACTATGGATCTTGGCGGAGCGTTGGGGTTCGGTCTCGGTGCGAGCGACCGGTGTGCTCGTTGTATCTGTGGATCTGTTCCTCCACTGATTAGCTTTTCATTAGCTAGCAGCCCCTCCACGAACTGAATCACCGAGCTCCCCTCGGCTCCTTCAGGCACCCCGTAGATTCTCATATTGTTCCTTCTCGACCTAGATTCCAAGTCGTTCACTTGATCCTGTAGCGCACTTTGCTCTTTTAGAGACCGGCTCAGCGCCTCGTTAGCCACCGCGGCCCAAGTCTCCTGCTCGTCAATGCGTGCAGCCATTTCCTCCAGCTTCTGCTCATGATCTTGTAGCTTTAGCGAAGTGGTGGCTAACTGCTGGTGAATCTGTATCTTAAACTGTGCAAACTCGTCTTTCATCTCCTTTTTGAAGTCTTCCTTGAACGTTGTCCAGTTTGCATTAAGCGTCGTGTTTAAAGACATAATTTGTTCGCTTATGTGGTTAAGTAACTGGCTTCTTTCAGTCGAGTCATGGTCATACGCGCTAGCATGAGCATTAGCATTGCCTGCGTCTTCTTCACTTACGACTTCTGGTGCCCTGTTGTCCACTTTTTTGGTATTCTTTTCTGCCATCGCTTTTATCTTAGATTTACCCTCGTTCACAATCGATATTTGCAAATAATAGAAGTGTTGAAGATGAATTAAAAGGGTTTAACAGCCTGATTTGACGGAGCGCTCAGTTCAAGCGTGCTGCGTCCTCCATTGCTCACCGGAACCACCAAATCAAATGATATTTTTGAAAAATTTCAATCTGGGTTTAAATCCTTGCACAGAAACTGCACTGTTGAAAATTTTTAATGATCTTCTTTTAATCTCTGACTCCGGAAGCCCCTCGGTATTAGTGCTTCTAGATTTGACAGCAGCATTCGACACTGTCAAAACATCATAACATTCTTATCTCCCGCCTTGAGTCCTGTGCTGGAATTAAAGGTACAGCACTCAAGTGGTTCCACTTGTACCTGTCCGATCTGGTGTTTTCTGTAAATCTCGGCTCTTGCAGCTCAAAGAAAGCCTCCCTTGACAGTGGTGTACCACAGGGTTCAATTTTAGGACCAGTTTTATCTTCACTGTACATGTTGCCCATAGGCTCGATATTCAAAAAGCATAACATTTCATTTTACTGCTTTGCTGATGATGTTCAAATCTATTTGCCTTTGAATGTTAATTCCGATTCCATCCAAGCACTGCAGAAATGTCTTGACGATGTAAAAGACTGGATGTCAATCAATTTTTTAAACCTGAATGACACAAAAACAGAAATTGTACTGTTTGGTGAACCTGATCCGTCTGTGTTCAACGGTGTGTCTAGCCTGTCTTCCTACTGCCGCCCACTTGCAAAAAATCTTGGTGTGTATTTTGATGGTGCTTTTAAAATGGACAAACAAATAAGTTCAGTTTTCAAAGCCAGCTTCTTCCAGCTGAGACTGTTGACCAAAGGTAAGCGCTATCTTCCACCAAATGCCCTTGAGAAGGTTGTCCATGTCCTCATATCCACACGGCTGGACTATTGTAACTCTTTATACTATGGCCTTGACCAGTCCTCAGTTCACAGACTGCAGCTGGTACAGAATGCAGCAGCTCGGAAGCTGACTGGCACAAGACAACACAAGCACATCACTCCTGTGCTGTCGTCTCTACATTGGCTTCCTGACGCTTTTAGAATTAAGTTTAACATTTTATTGTTAGTATTTAAATCTCTGCATGACCTGGCTCCGTCATATCTGACTGACTTGCTTACTTTGCACACTCCGGGAAGAGCACTGAGGTCGTCTGACCAGCTTCTTCTGCACTGTCCCAGGTCTAGATTAAAAACCAGAGGAGATCGAGCCTTTGCTGTGGCAGGGCCTAAACTCTGGAACGCTCTCCCTTATTCCATCAGAGCTGCCTCCTCTGTAGTTTTAAATCGCAGCTGAAGACACGTTTCTTTGCTTTGGCTTTTTAACACAAGCAATGTTGAAACATTTATGATAGTGTCCTGCATTTTATTTTTATGTCCTGTCTGTTTTTAAAATGTGCTATATAAATAAACTTGACCTTGAAAGTTTGGAGGGACGGCCGGGTCTTGGTAGATTTGCAGTGGTCTGATACTCCTTCCATTTCAATATAATTGCTTGCACAGTGCTCCTTGAGATGTTTAAAGCTTGGGAAATCTTTTTGTATCCAAATCCGGCTTTAAACTTCTCCACAACAGTATCTCGGACCTGCCTGGTGTGTTCCTTTGTCTTCATGGTTCTCTCTGCGCTTTAAACAGAACCCTGAGACTATCAAAGAGCAGGTGCATTTATACGGAGACTTGATTACACACAGGTGCATTCTATTTATCATCATCAGTCATTTAGGACAACATTGGATCATTCAAAGATCCTCACTGAACTTCTGGACTGAGTTTGCTGCACTGAAAGTAAAGGGGCCGAATAATATTGCACGCCCCACTTTTCAGTTTTTTATTTGTTAAAAAAGTTTAAATTATCCAATAATTTTTGTTCCACTTCACGATTGTGACCCACTTGTTGATTCATCTTTATGATTGAAGCCTGAAATGTTGAAAGGTTCAAGGGGGCCGAATACTTTCGCAAGGCACTGTAAACTCAGGCTAGCACATAATACAAAAAACCTTTCATGCAAACATCTAATGAAGAGAGCACTTTATAAAAACACTTGATGATTAATATGAAAACATTTTATTGAGACCTTTCATGATAAAATATAGAATTTCATATTTTCATAGATGTTGACACATGGATGACAGAAAATAGAAGTGTGTGGGTGTGTGTTATGATTAAATATACAGCAGTAGAACATTGGTCTCTGAACCTAATGGTCGTGGGTTTGATCCCCCATGACCCATGTCATCTGCTCCTACTGAAGTCTGCTGCCGTGGTGTCCCTGGGCCAGACCCCACTTTGCCCAAAGCCCCCAAGGCCGTATCTTCGTCGAAGCAGCAGCCATCTTCCTGTGGACACCTGCAGGAGGATCAGCGAGGCCCCAGTGGTCCCAGTGTTATGTGATTTGGGAGGCAGCTTTGATTGCCATCCCACCAACCCAGAAATGGAATATTAAAGGGGGAAAACATGCCATGACTTTTTCACCTTAACTCTTGTTCCTTGGCACAAGTTTCCTCTTCACTTGGCTTCAGAGCATGGAAAGATGTTATTGGGTTATGTGTTGGGTTACATGCAAATAAGGCTTCATATGATACAAACTGTACAAAATACCTGAAGCTTGAGAATGTCTGGCATATTTCTCGTATTTCTTTCACCTTTCAATCACACCTTGACATGAGTCCGTCAGGAAGTTTTGCAAGCATTTTCTGATTTTCATGGCTGTCATTAAGCACTTCAAGGCCTTGAATCTGTGACATAGCTGCATTACAACTGTGAAAATCTGCCTACCTTTGAAGTTCCACACTGCCTAATGAACTTGGGCGACATAGTGGCTGAGTGGATAGCACTCTCTGAGTGGATAGCAAGAAGGTCCTGTGTTCGAATCCCGGTCAGAACCTTTCTGCATGGAGTTTGTATGTTCTCCCTGTGTTTGCATAGGTTTCCTCCAGCTGATCTACCAAAAGCATGCACAAAAGGTATGAATGTAATGAGTAAGTGAATGGATGGTGTTGGATGGGGCTTTGATGCTCCAGTGTGTTCAGCGTCTCACTTCAATCATCATCATCATGTCTGAACTCTGTACATTCTAAAGCGCTTTGGGTGAACATGGTAAGAAAAAAATTGCTATATAAATAAAGATTATGTAAAGGCCGTTTTATTTCCCTTTAAGAAAATGCGAAGTTTAAGTTAATATTCTTTATTTTTGTGTGGGGCCAGGTAGAGTTCAGTTCCTTTTATGTACAGTAGGGGGAACTAGTGAGAGCAAGGTGGTAGTGTGGAAGCTGGCCTGGGTTTAGGCCCAACAGTTTTTTGACTGTGCTTTTTTTGTGGAAAACTGTTGAATGTAAACTGTTCATTTGGAACTCTGAAACCTGTGCATCATTAAAACAACATACTACCGTTATTCCGTAAGTCTGGACATTCAATCTCTTTATTTTCTCAAGAACACAAGTCAAGCTAAAGCTATAGCCCAGGCTGCTTACAGTGGCAAAGACACTCTCAACAATTGCCACAACATTTGGTCAAAGAACTAGTGCAGCTTCAAGGATTACCATAAACCCACTGGAATACCATGATCACAGCTGTGGATGGCTTTTGTGTGGACAATTTTTTTTGCAGTCACAGTGTTTGAGACACATTTTGTACAAACTGACTGAAATCCATCCATTTTCTACCCTTTAATCCATTTCTGGGTCAGGGGGGTGGCAGTCAAAGATGCCACCCAAGTCTCATAGCACCAGCCCCTCACTGAACCTCTGCAGGTGGTGAGTCCACAGGAGGACGGCTGCTCTCTGACTGTGAGCATAGCCTTGATCTTTCAGTGGGGGCTTTGGGCAAAGTGGGGTTAAGTGTCTTGCCCAAGGACACAACAACAGCAGTCATCAGTGGGAGTCGATGGAGAAGGTGCAGAGGTGGGAATTGAACCCACGACCTTCTGGCCTTAAGGCCAATGCTCTACCAACTGAGCTACTGTTGCCCTTGACTGAAATCCTTTTGTTATAAAACACTGAACATTTGTCAAACCATCTACTGTGAGTTCTGCTGTGAAGAATACAACTATAGGTCCTGGAGGACTCAGGCTGTTGAATTAACCCAAATGTTTAATGGCTGAAAGGACGTCAGATGTGTCTATGGCGGAATATGCCCACAAGAGGGAGCCAAAACTCACTGAAAAGGCCATCGAAGCAAAGTTAAACCAATATCTCAATGGAAGGAGAGTCAAATATAGGCAATTGGAAACAAAGGCAAAGGTTACACAAGAACTGCTGAATGGAAACCCACCTTATGATGAAATACATGAAAGATTTAAAGACTTTGAAGCAACTCTTTTGATGTTTAAACAAAGATGAACACAGAATGGATCAGGAGAACTGGTTTCAACCAAGACTTCAAAATCTTGTGGAATTTAAGAAACAAATGTATACATGGCTGATGCAAAATAAAGATGTGGATGAAAAGAATGAAAATGTGGAACAAAAACAAATGGACACTAAGTGAACAAAAGGAGGTTATCACTAAAGAAAGAAATGCAGACACAAAACCCAAATTGGGACCCCAAAAAACTGAGCTAATTGTACAGGAAGAGAGAAATGTATTGCTCAGCCATGGAACGTGCCCGGAGGTGCTGGCAATGACTGAGCCACGCCATGCAGCCACCTCAATTTCATTTTCCTCCAAAAGTGGACGCTCAATTCGCTCTACGTCCTCTTCAATACGTCTAAGAGAGGAGGCAACAATTGCATTAAAGGAGGCTGCTCTAACAATAGAAAAAGAGTAACTTCAGATTCAAACTGCTCTCGCAATGTCAGACGCAAAACT